TACCAATCACGTGGAATTTGCTAGAATTTATTTATCCTCCAAGGTTGTTCTTTTAACGCACTGAACATAAATTCCTTCTCGATACGATGATTTATTATACCTACCCTTTTCATTTATACTTCTCCTGTCCTGTACTCTTCTTTCTTATTTTTTCTTGAAAATAAATCTTTATTTGTTGTAATTTACTAGAAAGGATCGTCTATTCGAAGAAAATTAAAATCGCAAAAGTAAGAATAGTCAAATTAATAAATTGAAAACAAATAAAAATGTCGAGACATAAGTTTTAAAGAATTGAAATTCTTCACGTTTTTTCAGACGTTAATGGGAAAAATGCAAGTCGGATCTATCCATGATATCCCTCACCCATTGAATCCATGCGAATAATGCGCAAAGGACACCGTAATGTATTCACGTTCGATGTAAAACATGAATGAAACACGTTACATTCCTGGAAAACCGGTACGCGATATCATCTGAGGTAACAGAACTCAATTAATTTTACTATCGATATTTATGCAGCCATCGTTCGAAAACGTTATATGTTACATCTACAGAGAAAAAGAAGTTTTGTCCATCTTGAATATTTTTAACATATCATCCACCTCGCAAACGAAGGTTCGTATTTTCTACGAAGCTAAGACCGTCGCTGTCCTATACAGAATTATTGCGTTTATATTATGCATCGACGAGCTTACCACGGCAGGTGCTCACTATCTTCCCTTCGCATTTCCTGCTATACATACATACATATAGTTTACCTTTCTCACGTGGTACCTCTCGGTTTGCAGGATGTTGCCTCTCCTCTTTTTCTCTTAAAACATTCTACCAGCCAGATTTGCAAGATTCGCAAATTACAGAAAAGAGAAAAAAGCTTCGCTTCGCGACACTAAAAATAGGTGGAATTTAAGATTCTGCAGGAACAGGAAATGGAAATTCCACAATTTCCTCTCTATTGCAGCGCATACGAACTTAAACCGCGTTCGACATTCCATAGCCGATGGAAGGTAAAGATAAACGTATAAGTTTTACGTTATCTTTTCTCTATAAGAGAGAAACAATTTTATCAATTAATATCATTTCAGTCACCTCTGAATTAAGAAACACATTGAGAAGGTGTAAAAGTATGCCGTTTTCTCAAGCATTCACGCAAAGCGTTAAACAAAGCGTTAAACAAGAATAGACGAGATATCCCACGAACATTGCTCCGAACAATCCAAAATTATCATCATCGAGCGTTTGCAGATGTACAACACGGCCGTTGGAAACTCGGCTTTACGAAGACGTGCATCGCGCACGACAAACTTACAGATCGTCACCAAGAAAGTTTAACAGGTTGTCATTGTTGCGTGACCAACGCCAGACGCATTATTACCTATGCCACGCCACAGTCCACCGGATGCATACTGAATAAAGAACACAATAAATATATACACGTGCCGGCTTTATGCGTACGCAGCCCCGACAGGACATTCAAGGTACACGTTCGTTAGTCGGTGCGTGCACGTTTCGCGGCTCGTCATTCCCTTTCAGCATGAACGCGAACGTTAAACTCACGACTTCCACGAAACGACGCCGCCTTTCGTATGGAACGACGTCCTGTGTTTCGTTGATGTCTCCACGAAATGTTGAAGTTTGAATTTTGTTAAGCTATAATATAGTCAAAATCTGAGAAAAGATTCGGCCAACGATTTAAAGGACAATGAGATTTTTGCAAATTCCTCTTCCTGCCTAATAAATCTATTAAATACGAAAGATGGCAAAGTGAAAACTTGTTTAAGATCTACAGAAATCTTAGGTCTTAACATTTACTTTCGATAAATTGAAATCTAAATTAATTTGTAAATAATAATAGAAATATCTGACATGATAGGAATTAAAGGTTTCGAATGAAATATCGTCGACAATTCACTCACCAGCCATACATGATTCGTTGAAAGTAGATTTTCAGATACTCGTAATCCAAACGTAGCCACGTGTATCACACCATATTACCAATAAACTGTGTCAATTACAGATCTGAGAACACATCACGAACACTTACGAACACTAGCCATACGAAGGAAGATTTGTTGCTCTTAACGATAGTACTGATAGCTTCTTCTCTTCTTCTTCGTCATAGACACTGTTTTCAAAGTACAGAAATTTCACAAGTAATAATATTCTTCAAGCATTTAATCTTTGATCATTGCACCTTCGAATACACCATTTTCTTTTCTCTTTTTCTTCTGTGAATACGACGATAAAAAATTTGACAAAATCAAATATTTCCCCGGTTTATTACTGTCATACAAAAAAATCATGATTTTTTATTGAAAAAAAAAAAAGAAAAGAATGTAATAATAGGAACTCGAATATTTTCAAGATAGATTTGATTCATTTTAATTGGTGATGTGATAACGAAAAGATTTCGCTGTGTGTTTTATTACACGCGTAAAAAATGATCGTGGTAGAAAGATGAAGATCCACTAAAGTCAGTTTAAACGAAGTAATCGCAAAAGGAACGAATACGCGTTAGTTACTTTCTTATGCAGGCATCAATATCACTATCGGACACGTTTCGTTGCATGCATCAATGTCACTGTAC